GATGCTTGTCTTCATAATATATCTTCAACATTTGGGCTGACGTCAAATCGCGAGTAACTCAATATCAGTTAATGCGATAAAGGTAATGACAATAACATCAAATAATTTGGTGGAGCAGACTCAGGATCAGCAGCAACTGGGCTCAGGTCTGCTAAATATCACTCTTGAATAACTCTGAGTTGTTTTAACTCAACGTTTGGTTAAATACGGACAAACCCAATTGTGGGGTTATCACGTGTCATTTAAATTGAATTGAAAACATCGGTAACACTTTAGACTAAGTGCAGTGTTCACTATTAAACAGAGGCTTATTGTTATAGGAGATATGGGCTGTTTATAAAGTACATTCATTCATTTTCCTTCAGCTCAGTCCACAGCAGATGAGCTGCCATCTATTCTGGTATATGTTTTATGCAGCGGATGCCCTTTCAGCTGCAACCCAGTATTGGGAAACACACACACTCATACACTACAGCCAATTTAGTTCATCAGTTTCCCTATAGCGCATGTGTTTGGACTGTGGGGGAAACCGGAGCATCCAGAGGAAACCCACACTAACTTGGGGAGAACATGCAAACTCCACACTGTAATCATACCCAATACATTCTAATAAATGCTGGACTATTCTAACCCAATGCTGGGTCAAATATGAACAAACCCAAGTGTAACGGAGGCCAGCTAGGAAGTGCTGTGCAGGTAAACCTCTATGCTTTGACCTCTAAAGGTGCTCTAGTGACAGTCGCTAGAGGCCATGGTCTTTAGCCTCCTTGTTAGAGCAAACGACTGTCATGCGGAGGGTCGCTGGTTCGATTCCAGCTCAGAGCGGGTTGAGTGGTGTTGGACTGGCGGGTTACTCAAGCATTGGGTTGAAAAATATAATTTAAATTCAATTTAACAAATTAACCCAATGTTGGGTTTGTCCATATTTGACCCAACGTTGAATTAAAACAACCCAGCAGTTAATTAGAATGTATAAATGGAGTCAATGGTTACCCATTTCTAACATTCTTCAAAATATCTTCTTTTGTATTTAACAGGAAATAGAAAGTCATAAAGGATTGAGACGAGTGAAGGGTGAGTAAATATTACACTGTTTTTACTTTTGGGCACTCCGCTGGGTTGTTTTTACCCAGCATTTGGTCAAATATGAACAATCTGCACAGTTGGGTTAAAAAATATATTTACATTTAATTAAACATCATTGGGTTTTTCTGTATTTGACCTAGCGTTGAATTAAAGCAACTCAGCATTTTTAGTGTATGGATCTTAATGGTTACCCATTTCTAACCCATTCTACAAAATATCTTCTTTTATGTTCAACAGAGAAATGAAACTGTTTCTTGTGAGGACGGAAGCGTGAGTGAATTATTACACAATTTTCAGCTTTGGTTGTTGGTTTGTTGTTTTAACCCAATGTTGGGTCAACAATGAACAAACCACAAAGTTGGGTTGAAAAATGTAATTTTTTTTTTTAAATTAACCCATCATTAGGTTTGTTTGGTTATATTTGACCCAGCATTGAATTAAAACAAGCCAGAATGTTTTAGTGTATGGATCCTAATAGTTACCCATTTCTAACATTCTTCAAAATATCTTCTTTCATATTTAACAGAAAATAGAAGGTCATGAAGGATTGAGACGAGTAAAGGGTGAGTAAATATTACACTGTTTTCACTTTTGGGTACTCAAAATGATGGGTTGTTTTATCCCAACGCTGGGTCAAATATGAACAAGCTGCACAGTTGGGTTAAAAAATATTATTTAAATTTAATTTTCAAAAATGTACCAAGCGATGGGTTTGTGCACATTTGACCGATCATTGAGTTAAAACAACCCAGAATTGTTTAGTGTATGAATGTCAGTGGTTACCAGTTTCTAACATTCTTCAAAATATCTTCTTTCATATTTAACAAGAAATAGAAACTCATAAAGGATTGAGACGAGTGAAGGGTGAGTAAATATTACACTGTTTTTACTTTTGGGCACTCCGCTGGGTTGTTTTTACCCAGCATTTGGTCAAATATGAACAATCTGCACAGTTGGGTTAAAAAATATTATTTGCATTTAATTAAAAAATAAAACATCATTGGGTTTGTCCGTATTTGACCTAGCGTTGAATAAAAGCAACCCAGCATTTTTTCTCAATGGTTACCCATTTCTAACCCATTCTACAAAATATCTTCTTTTATCTTCAACAGAGAAATGAAACTGTTTCTTGTGAGGACGGAAGCGTGAGTGAATTATTACACAATTTTCAGCTTTGGTTGTTGGTTTGTTGTTTTAACCCAATGTTGGGTCAACAATGAACAAACCACAAAGTTGGGTTGAAAAATGTAATTTTTTTTTTTAAATTAACCCATCATTAGGTTTGTTTGGTTATATTTGACCCAGCATTGAATTAAAAGAAGCCAGAATGTTTTAGTGTTTGAATCCTAATAGTTACCCATTTCTAACATTCTTCAAAATATCTTCTTTCATATTTAACAGAAAATAGAAACTCATAAAGGATTGAGACGAGTAAAGGGTGAGTAAATATTACACTGTTTTCACTTTTGGGCACTCAAAATGATGGGTTGTTTTATCCCAACGCTGGGTCAGATATGAACAAGCTGCACAGTTGGGTTAAAAGATATATTTGCATTTAATTAAAAAATAAAACATCATTGGGTTTGTCCGTATTTGACCTAGCGTTGAATAAAAGCAACCCAGCATTTTTAATTCAGCTTTTTTTTAGTGTATGGATCTTAATGGTTACCCATTTCTAACATTCTTCAAAATTTCTTCTTTCATATTTAACAGAAATAGAAACTCATAAAGCATTGAGACGAGTGCGGGTGAGTAAATTATTACACAATTTGTACTTTTGGGCACTCAAAATGTTGGGTTGTTTTAACCCATCCTTGAGTCTAACATAAATACAACCGTTGGGTTAAAAAGTGTCATTTGAATCCGTATTTGACAACTCTGGGAAACAACGGCTCATTATAGTTTAGAGTGGATGAAGGATTCCTTTAATCATCTGAGGAACATTTTGTAGAATGAAAGATTGGATGTTAAAGGGTCAGTTCACCCACAACTGGCAATTCTGTCATCATTTTCTCACCCTTCACTTGTTCAAACCCGTTTGACTTTCTTTTATTCTGATGAACACAAAAGAAGATATTTTGAAGAATGTTAAAAAAAAACTGTAACCATTGACTTCAAAAGACCCTAAGAAATGCTGGCTTATTTAAATCCAGTTCGGGTAAAATATGGACAAACTTTAACATTGGGTAAAATTTGGTCTGATAAATTAAAAAAATTAACCCAGCACTGATGTTTAGTCCATATTACACCCACAATTGGGTTGAAATAACTCAAAAATGGCAGGTTATTTCAATCCAATTGCTGGGTTAACTTTTAAATTAAATTATCGTTCATTCATTTTCCTGCAGCTCAGTTCCTTTATTCATCAGAGGTTGAAATGAACCGTCAACTATTTTACACAGCGGATGCCCTTCCAGCTGCTACCCAGTATTGGGAAACACCTATACACACTTATGAACCGTCAATTATTTTACTCAGCGGATGCCCTTCCAGCTGCTACCCAGTATTGGGAAACACCCATACACACTCATTAACACACACACACACTCATACACTACGGCCAATTTAGTTCATCAGTTCCCCTATAGCGCATTTGTTTGGAATGTGGGGGAACCGGAGCACCGGAGGAAACCCACACCAACACAGGGAGAACATGCAAACACAGAAATGTCAGCTGACTCGAACCAGCGACCTCCTTGCTGTGAGGCAACAGTGCTAACCACTGAGCCACTGTGCTGCCATGAATTAAAATAGGACCAAATTTAACCCAGTGTTTGGGTTAGTCCATATTTCACCCAATTTTGGTTTAAATAATTCAGCATTTCTTAGAATGTTCTTTGGTGCTCAACTGATGAAAGAAACTCATAAAGGTTTGGAAATACTTGAGGGGGAGTAAATATTGAGCACTCTTTCAATTTTGTGTGAACTACCCCTTTAAATGTAATTCATGAACAGCTCTAATCATATACATCCACCATCCCCGCGCAGCGCGCTCTCAGACGGCCACACACACATGCATGCACTCTCAGAAAATGACGTGTACTACATGTTCAAACTATTTTTAATTAGTTGAAACAACACAATTATTTAGTTTTGGGGGGACAACTTAATTGTTTTACGTTCAATACACACTTTTTTTAAGGTAAGTGGTTGTAAACAATTCATATAGACTGAATTTAAACAAATTAAATGTAGTAATGTTCAAATTAATGAATTTGTTTAAATTCAGCTCATATTATATTGCATTGTTTGCTGCTATACGCGCCTTAAAACAGTTTGTAAATCCAATGAATCATTTATAAGTGCTTGTTGTCACAATGCAAACTGATTGTGTGGAACCCTGCATCTTTAAAGTGCGCAAACACACACCTGTCTCCGCGAAGCTGATGATCTCCGACGTCTCCTCCTCCAGCTCGTGCATGTACGCCGCGTGCCCGTCCAGATTCGGGATCTCCACCCGCCCGTCCTCGCGCAGCTTCCCGGCGTGCAGCTTCTTGAGCGCGGTCACCATCGCCGCCTTCGGGATGGGGTGTGTGATGTTGGGTCTGTCCCGCATCTGCAAGCGGCTCAAAATGTGTCTCTTCACCGCCTCCAGGAAATCCCCGTCCGCCGGTCCATCCGTCTTGGGGAGCCCGCAGGACGCGCAGCTCGTGCTGGTGCTCGGGGTCTCGGTGTCCGGTGCCGGTGTGCCGCGGATGGAGGACAGGACGCAAACTAAACAAAGCACTTCAAACATCAAGCTTTTCATCTTCCAGGATGCGAGCTGGATGGATGGAAATGAAAGTTCGTATCCGCCTTGATTATTTGTCGCTCTTTTGTTTTCCCTCTAATTAAAAAAAAAAGTGTAAGATCCACTGCTAGAGGTCCGGGCTTGGGGAGTGATTAAAACACAAAGCAATTAATCCCGGCTTATGGATATCCCGGACACACAGTGATGCATTCAGTCAAATTCTGCTCGATTGATTCTCCATTTGAGTGAATAATAAAGTCTTGCTTTCAGCGGACGCACTTTTACGCACGAGCCTGGCGCGTCATGGCATGACTGGAAATCTCAGCATTACGCGTCAAATAAAAACCCCACAGACTAAACAAAGGATCTGTTATGATTCCTTCACTCTGCTAACTTAAAATCCTCCATGATGATGATGATGATGGGAGAGAGTGTGAAGCAGTCACCCGCGGAATTTCCAAATAACCATTCGCCTTTTATGTTTGTTAGTTCTTCAATAAAAAATCCCGTCCTCCTTTGTTGGACATTTTGACTTCCAGTGAAGGTTTCCCAGACACTTCTTCATCATCGCTCTCGGTGCTCGGGATGCTGTGCGGGAGCTTCTCTCTCTCTCTCCAGCGAACAGACATTGTGCCGCTTCAGAGCCGCAGGAAAGTTTATATACTGGACTGAAGGACCACGTGGGACGAGCAGCAGCTCCAGAGGATTATAAAGGTATCTGATCTGACTGAGGAAATGTGCCAGGACTAATGCGACATTTCAGAGCATTTTCTTTTTAATGCAATTCTCATTCAAATGTTGCACAATAACAGAAGTCACGAGAGTCATGCGTTTAAATTAGCCAATAAAAGTGCGCAATAGTAAACAAGACAGCATCTATTGATGATAACAATACAAAAAGTGCATAATGCCGAACATATATAGGTATATTTTAAGTGATTGTGCATTATTTTATTGAATAGAATTTAAAAAACGCACGAAATGTGTGTGTGTGGAAAGGATGGAGCATCCTCTTTGACTAAAAACATTTAAAGGCAGCAGGTTTCAGTCATGGAAAGCAAATGAGCAACACTTTTTAACAGGTTTGAGTGATTGAACGTGTGAACTCGTAAACTTGTCCAGCAGGCGCCAGAGGAGCTCATCTAAAAATCACTGACCTGCCAAACTCACAGATACTGCTTCAAAAGCACCACTTTTACATAGTCTGAGCATTAAAATAGGCTCTATAACATAGAGTGTAGCTGTTTTTAAATAAAACAACGTGCAAATATTTTTAAAAACGCAATAAAAAGGCATTTGAACTCAAATGAAATGTGATTTTAGATTTATGTAAAAAAAATGAATAGCGCATCACTGATGGAGTTTAAAGTTGTAAAACAGCGCCACCACTCGCTAAAACAAGACATCACATGTCATGCATACACACTGTCACCTTGGAATTGGTTCTGTCTGCGTTCTAAATGGTTTTGAGATGTTGAGTGTCAAAGTTATTACAATAAATATAGCAAACAGTATGTGTCTAACAGTTCTCTTTCCTACATTAACATGACAGAGACCCTAAATATACTCTAAATGTAAATTATCAAAATTCTCTTACATTTGCAAATTGGAGTTTATGTTGTTTTGACTCAACATTGGGTTAAAACAACCCAGCATTTGATTAACTTTTATCTTAAATATGCTTCAGTTTTAATACGTAGCCTCTCATAAATGCTGGGTTAACCCAGTTTTAAGTCAAATATGCACAAATCCAATTAGATTAAGTATCAAACATTAAATATTTGACCCAACGTCAGGTTAAAACAACCCAGCATTTGAGTAACTTTTAGTTCAAATATGCTTCAGTTTTAATAAGTGTAGCCTCTAATAAATGCTGAGTTGTTTTAACCCAATGTTGGGTCAAATATGAATAAACCCAACAATTGGGTTATAAAGTGTAATTTAAAATACATTAAAAAATATAACTCGATGTTGCGTATATCCATATTTAACCCAACATTCGGGTAAAACAACCCAGCATTTTATTAACTGTTAGTTCAAATATGCTTTAGTTTTAATCAGTAGTCTTTAATAAATGCTGGGTTGTTTTAACACAATGTTCTGATTCTGATTAAGTAGACTAAATGTACTGACTAAATATACTCTAAATGCAAATTATCAAAATTCTCTTACATTTGCAAATTGGAGTTTATGTTGTTTTGACTCAACATTGGGTTAAAACAACCCAGCATTTGATTAACTTTTAGCTTAAATATGCTTCAGTTTTAATACGTAGCCTCTCATAAATGCTGGGTTGTTTTAACACAATGTTGAGTCAAATATGCACAAATCCAACCATTAGATTAAATTTTAAACATTAAATATTTGCGCCAACGTCAGGTTAAAACAACCCAGCTTGATTATAGTGTGGTTATAAGATAAAAGATATTACTTTTGAAATATGGACAAAAATGCTGGGTTGCATAACCTGGGTCAAATATGGACAAACTGAACATTTCGTTATTATATATTCTGATTAAGTGTCATAAACATCATGTGACAGCGTCAGTCTGCAAGACAATATGTGTCTAACAGTTCTCTAAATGTAAATTATCAAAGTTCTCTTACATTTGCAAATTGGAGTAAAAAAAACAACAGAAAATGCAGATAGAAGCTTCTAATTCTGAAAAGTAAATGGGATTATAGGATTTGTCTGTGGCAGATCATTCATTGAAGCATTACTTTTTAACAAATGCAATAACACACATATATCAGTGTTGTAACAATATGATGATGCTTGAGAAAGTAAAATTTTTGCTTTCTATACTATTTATTTTATGTTTTAGGATATTTTTTCATGTTCAAATTAAGCCTGTAAGGCTGTGCTAAATATTTTACCCAGTGCAGATGTTAATTGTATGTAATTAATATGCTAATATTTATATAACTTTATAATTTAAATGAATTATTTAAGTACATTTACTGAATTAAATTAAGGATGCCGTGGTGCAGTAGGTAGTGCTGTCGCCTCACAGCAACAAGGTCTCTGATTCGAGCCTCAGTTGGCGTTTCTGTGTGGAGTTTGCGTGTTCTCCCTGTGTTCGCCTGGGTTTCCTCCCAGGTGCTCCAATGATCAGTGAAATATGGACAAACATAAC